TTATACTTTATGTAAAAATTTTAAATAAATATTCAATAAAGATAGAGGCATGGCCTTACTATTAATATTAAAAAAAATAATAATAATAATAATTACTAATAATTAAAAATTTTAATTAGAATTTTTTAATAATAGACAATATTTTGTTTTATGTATATAAAAAGAACAAACAGAATTATTTGCAAAATTATTGTCTAAAGTATAGCAAAGGACTTACATTTTTAGAAATACATATAGCATATAATTATCACATATACTAGAGCCTATTAGCAAAATTTGGTATCTGTCATGCAGATCATTGTCCGTCTGTCTAATCATATAATTAATTAATATAAAATTAAAATGTTTGATTGGCTGTTACAAATCAATTTTTTCTCTGAACTTACAACAGTTTCTGTTTTCCTAGTTATATACAGAAATTGATATGATTTTTAAATAAATTTATAGTATTATAAATAAGTAAAAAATTTGTGCATATAGTAGTTATTATCAAAAAAGTAAACAATATTATAATTTATTTTTATTTATTTTTTTTTTGGTGTTAAGATAAGGTAATATTATAATTTATATAATTATAATATTATATATTATAATATTAATTTTTATCTTTATAATAATAGTATTAGTATTTGCAAGAGCATTTATAAATATTCAATCAGCTAATGCATATCAATATTTATTTAAAGATTTATTTGTTATTGTTAAAAATAATACACAAAAGCTATTTAAATTTTAATATATTCATAGTAGTGGATTAGGATGTTTAATTACTAGTGCATATTAGAGACAAGCACTTGGTAACTATTAATATATTTATTATTTTAATAAGTTTAAATAAATAAATAAATAAATTTTATTTAAATAAGGTTTTGGTTAATAACTTCATTTAAAATATAATTATTTATTATGTAAAGAACATTTATAATATATCTACAAATTATATCAAATTTATTATAATCAGTAAATTATTTAATATATCATATATATTTAAATTAATTAAATAATTTATTAATATTTCATATATTTTTACTAATTAATAGTAATATTTATAATAAAGCTATTTCTAATAAAATGAAAACATTAATGTATTCTATATTAACATTAAAAGCACAAGAACAAATCTTTGAAATATTAAATAATATTAAAGAATCTGATGAATTAGAAGCTGCAAGTATTTAATTTATTTTTTTATAATTATAATATATATTTTATATTTATTATATTTATTCATAAAATAAGTTCAAGATAAATACAAATCATGGATATTAGCTGAACTTTCTCTTGTATTTACCAAAATGGATATTTAAATTTGGAATCAAACTCTAAAAAATACTAATGCAAATGAATCAGCTCATATAAATATAAATTATGATAATTATTTCTTATTTTTTTTAGTAACAATATATCAGTATATAATTTATAATATTATAGTATTTATTTAAAATATATTATACTAATTTAATAATAATTTAGTAAAGATGATTTTGACCAACAGCAATGGCATATAGCAAAAACATATGAATACAATGTACAAGATTCTTATAAAAACAAATCAGAATTAGCATATTTAATTTATAATACAAAAAGAAGTTATAAGTAATTTTTTAAATTTAATAATTATATAAATTAATTTAAACAATATTAAATATATTTTTTAGAAAAATGAAAAAATAAAACCAAAAAACCTAGATCAAAGTCTAAATTATAAAAAAATCAAAAATCAAAAATTAAATAATGATAATAGTGTAATATTATAGATATTTTTAAATATTATTTTATATTATTTTATTGATATTATATTAGTTTTATATTAT